AGGCCCTGTTAATCGGTATATATGATGAGCCTGTGACTCCTGGGCAGTGCAACATAGTTGTTGAGAGGCTGGGCGATTACCTTATCGAGCAGGGTCTCTAATTGCTTCGGTGAGTTGATTATCTCCCCAATTGCCTCCTGTGATTTGCTGTTTTCATTTATGGGTTTTTGGAGACTTAGATTGCATCAACTGGAATTGGCGTTGAATTCGTTCTTTTGTTTGACAGTTACAATTTAATTTGAAGTCATGGTGAATTTGGTTTGAAAACAAAGTTGTTGCTGCTTGGGGTGTGATGGATATTATGTGTAAAAGCCGTTTGTCTTTGCATTCCGGGATCTCTGGATGTGGATTGTCGTTGTGAATGATAGTGTTTTGATTTTACAATTATTATCCCTAAAATTTATTTTGTTCCTTTCACTGGAAAACACATGTAATTGCTGCTGTTATCTCCGGAATGCCTTGCGTATTTGTACTAAGTAGTTTGGTTTATCAGAACATGAGTTGGGCGAAAGGCGGGGAACATTTTTTGCTTTGCCTTTTCATTCCATAAAATTTATTTGCTTTGCATTCCGGGAACTTTTGGGTTTTGAACCAAGTTTGTGGATTTCCACAATGCAATTAACAAGTGGAATTTGTGGATTTCCAATGGGGTCGAATCACCGAGCCATTTGCTGAGTTTGTTGATGTGAGGGTATTTGAGCAATCTTCAATATTATTATGCGTCTAACGACGTGTTTTACATATGTATTTATTGTGAAATTTATCATTTTACCAAGGGAAAAATTTGAAGTCGAAAATTCCCAGATGCTTAAGAAGGTGGCTACTAATTCTGTTCCCCCATACATCCGGCTTTGGAAGCCGTTCTCTGCTTCTCATCAGCACTTTTCACTGAGGTTTACCATCACCTCCTGTCATAGTTGAAGTGGAGAGAGCTATATTTGGGCATCGCCCATAACACTAATGCCCTAGCTAGGTACACATATATGGAAAGGGATCCTTTCCGGATTTCTTTCACCAAATCCACTAATCGGGTTCTTGAAATTTAATTTAACGGCTAAAAACAGGGGCTTCTTTTAAAAGTTATAATAATTTTAGTCGTTTGATCAAATTTTAATGGTCTAGATTGATGGATTTGGTGGAAGGGATCCGGAGAGGATACTTTTTCCACATATATAGCACTCTTAGACCATTTTTAACTCTTAGGTTAAAATCTAAAATTTTTAACCCATAAACAATTTTTCTTTTTCAATCCTTCTAGGATAAATTTTTGGCCTAATTGGATTATTAGTCCATGTGGTAATAGGAAGATAACCTTTGTGGTAAAAAAAATTAGGATTTAAGTTCCTATGGTGAAGTCTGTTAGGATTTATGTTCAAAATTAAAATTTTGTTAACTTTCTGTTAATTATTAGTACATGAGCCACAATTATGAGGCTTAAACGGAACTCTATATTAATTGTAAGTACGTTAGGCTTGCATGTGATGCTATTTTTATCTTTTTAGCCTCACATGTGAGCCTCAATTAACGAAGAGTTTAATGAAATTTTCAATTTTGGATTTAAATCCTAATAAATTTCACCACAAGAGCTTAAGTCCTAATTGTTTGACCTTAGGTACCTTTGGACTACCCTATCACCACGGGGACTATTAATCCAATGAAGCCTAAATTTTTAGCCTGAGAATATTAAATGATGAATTTAAGATAATTTGTTTGTCTTATAGTAACTTTTCTTTAAAAAAAAATTATATAGATTATTCTAATTTAATTTTATGAACAATTTAACCGAAAAATATTTAGATTCTAATAAATATTGAAAAACCTCTAAACCAACACCGGGAAACTCGTGGAATACTATGAAAAAACTATGAACCACATAAAATAATTTCTATTAATTACTTTAGCCATTGGATTTGAATTTAGACCGTTAATTATTATTTTTTTATTGTTAGATTTGATCATATTAAATCTTACCCGTTTGAATTAATGAATTTATAAATATAAAACTATACAAAGTACACATATATGGTGGACCAGCTCCATTAATCCAGGGAAAATTCTGGGCTAAATTTGTCCTAGAAATAAGTTTGGGATTTAAACTCATATTTGTTCCAAGGGTTGGAGTAAGTTTGGATAAATTTAGAACCTAAATTTTGAGTTTTACTCCAAGAGTTGAAGTATGTCTTAGAAAACACGTATATGAAGTGATGATAATACTTATCTATGAATGGGAAGCCCTAAGGTCATCTCCAACTGAAGGGTCCAGATGGTCGAAAATAACTCGAAAACCGTCTCCAACCGAGGGCTAGGCTAGAGGGTTTGTGGACTCTAAGAGGGTTGCAAGGAATCTGAAAGGGCTGGAAGGCTGGAGGGCTGGTTAGCACCAGTTACTGTTAGATTCTTTTTTTTATATATATAGGTTTTTTGGGCCTTTTCAAAAAAAAAAAAATCTCAAAAATTCTAATTTTTTTCCGTATAAATACCTAAACCATTCATTCACCATTCCTCACAAAATTTTCACCATTTCAATTCTTATATTTTCTTTCATCTTTCAAAAATTTATCCTTCAATTTTTTCAATAATTTTCAAATGGCCTCGTCTGCAATGAAAGGTAGGGCTTGGACCCGAAAAGAAGATGAAGCTCTTTGCAATGCTTATAGATGGGTGTTGGAAGATAGTGAGAGGGGGAATTGTCAAACAAATGACGATGTTTGGACTCGCGTGTTCAAAAAATACTTAGAGTTCTATGAAGGCACCGCTCCAGTGAATATTTGAAACCACGAGAGTTGTTCTTCAAGATGGAAGAAATATCTTCAGCCAAGTTTGAACAAATAACATCAAGCATTGTTAGCAGCCACAAGTAAACATGAAAGCGGCACTAATTACTACGACGAAGTAAGTGTTTTCACAATTTATTTTAAATATTTAATTATATTACATTTAATTTCATAAATTAATTTCCTTTAATTTTTTTCTAGGTACGCCAAGCGGATGAATTGTATAAGGAGAGCAGCTCGAAAGCCTTTCAGTTTCACAGTTGTTGGAAAATTTGTAAAGGGTGGGTGTTATTTGAAGATCTACCACGTATAGCTCATACGCCGGTGTTCGGAACTGCATCCTCAGCTGCACATATGGATGAAGATGGATCTCCAACCATTCAACAAACAAGGGTAGAAAATCCATCTTCGGATGAATGTTCCATACCTAGGGCTATGAGACGAAACAAGGCGCGAAGATTGAAGGAAAAAGGGCAAGGCAAATGATGATTACGTCGCTCAACATGAAGTGGTGGCCTCATTGCGATTAATGGCAGAGCAAAATGCCCTTGAGGCGGAAGAAAGGAAAAGTATGCATGAAGAACAGGTCAAACAAATACAAGAAGAGATGGGTGATAAGAATATGAAAATGAACACTTCGAATTACACTCCAATGAGTAAGGCCTATTTTGATAGGAAAAAAAAAGAAATTATGACCCGGCAGCAATTGTTTACCTCTGACTATACCCTTACAATGGCGAATGATGAAGATGATGAAGATGATGTTGATTATGGATATTAAATTTAAGTTGTTGTAGTTTTTAAATTCAAGTTAATGTTGTTTTTAAATTTTATTTGTAGTTTTTAAATTTAATTTGTAGTTTTTAAATTTAATTCCTCGTTTTTAAATTTAAGTTGTAGTTTTTAAATATAAGTTGTAGTTTTTAAATTTAAGTTGTTGTTAGATTTGAATTTAAGTTGTTGTAGTTTTTAAATTTAAATAATAAATTATGTTTGGCCTTTTGGCCCTCGGTTGAAGACGGTTTTTTGTGACAGTGCTAAAATGAGCCCTATGGCCATCGGTTGGAGACGGAGGCAAATATGACCCTATACTGTTCATTAAAATATTAATATCTTCAGATGGCTAAAACGAGCAATCTGGCCAACCCTTAGTTGGAGATGGCCTAAGAGATATTTATATATAGGCCAGGACCTTGGCTTTTAAGTTAAGACCATTAATTTTCCAAGATTCTTTATTCCAATGAAAGAATTTTGTAATGGTATTTTTTTTATTGAAAGCAAAATCCGCACCAGAGTACAGAAACATGATTATTTTATGCTATCAAGTTTATTGAACATTCATTCTTATGAATTATTACATCGACAGAATGAAATGTGCATTTAACATGTATGAAGGGATTTGGATCATCTCCTGAGCTTATGGAGAGGAACCTCCTGACCAAAACACGTGAGTTGTTGGATGAAAATCCAAAGACTACAAACAGGGGTTCCTTTAAAATTATAATAATTATAGAAAATCTAACGGGCCACGTGTCTCGGTCAGGAAGATCCTCTCCTTAAGCTTAGGAGAGGATCCAAATCCTGTATGAAGTCATGGAACAAAAGGCAATCATTTGTGTTGTAAAATTATACATATACTAAAACTCAACCAAAAACACTGTTTATTAACAGTGTAAGGACGAAAATGCCATCCAATTCCTTTGATATCAGCCTTTTTTTCCATTTTACAGCAAAAAGACGGGTTTGCCCTCCTATCCCACGCGTCCATCATCGCTGCTTCGACTTCCGCTTCTCGACTCTTCTGCTGTTTTTCGCTTTCTATGTCTGCCCTCCTAATTGTGGTGACCTTACATCGTGTCCTCCTATTTTGTGCGATCATGGTTAAGCCACATCAATATTCTTTATTTATTTTTTAATAGAAATAATAAGATAAAAAATAATAATCTTTTAATAGAGATAATAAGACAAAAAATAATAAAAATTAAAAATGTTGACGTGGCTTAACCGTAACCGCATAAACCCTCCTAATTATGGTGACCTTCCATGCCCTCCTATTTATACGGTTAAGCCACGTCAACATTTTTTATTTTTATTATTTTTTGTCTTATTATCTCTATTAAAAGATTATTATTTTTTATCTTATTATTTCTATTAAAAAATAAATAAAGAATATTGATGTGCCTTAATAAGAGGATGATGGAAGATCACAACAACAGGAATCATCCAAAAAAAAAAAAAAAAAAGATCGCTGCTTCTCCTACTCTCTTTCTCTGTACCTTTCTTTACTAGGATTGCTGCGTGCTTTAGATTGGTTTCTGGAAATCGGAGGAACCGATGAAATTGGCGTCTGGATTTCGAGGGAAGGTTGAATTCTTTAGTGTTTGTGATGAGGTTTCCTGTGTACCAAGTGCTTTCCATCTCCCATTTTCTTGATTTATTAAGGACTTACTTGCATTTAGTTGGATTTGTAGATGGGAGAAATATCAAAGTGAGGAAGAAACAGCTGTTGGTCGTGGGAAGCGCCTGCGGAAAGCTGTTTCTTACAGGGAAGCATATGCTGCACACCCAAGTGAAACTTTGAGTGAGGTACTCAAGTATAGCTTTGGTTTCATTAACCTTTTGGGTTATTAAATTTGTATGCTCTGATTTTTTTGCAATTTGAGTTTGGATTGGAATTTAATTTTGATTTACAAATTTCTGATAAAACCTCAAAAAGAAATTTAGGAACGTGTATTTTTTTTTTTTTTGGTCTTCTTTCTTCTGATTTTTTGGGTTTTCATCTGGGATATTTTCTGAACATGCTCCATTTATTTTACGCTTGGTTTCGTATACCCTGCAGCAGTCAAATAAATCACCTTACAGAACCAGAAGCCACTGAAATGGCGAGTGGCATATATGTTTATTTCTATGTTTTCAAATCTGGGTTTTAGATATTTTCTTTGTTTTGGTTAATTATGGAATTTTGGCTCCCAATTTCTTCAAACTTCAGAATTTTTTTTTTTTTGTTGCTATTTCGTGTGAGAATATGGGTCCAATATTGGATTCTTCCAATTTCTGGGCAGAGAAAACAGGGTGGTGACAGTAGAGAATTCCAACTTCTTTGTGGTGGAAATCATAGTTTCATTTTAGATTTTCTTTTGGGTTTATGAAATGAGTTGGAATGATGTCTCATGATTATGTGAATGTTTTTTGAATTTAGTTGTGAACCTAATAATCTAATCGTGTCTCATGATTATGTGAATATTAATAAATTTAGTTGTGAACCAGAACCTGGGTATCAACCAAGGACTAATATCAATCCCAGAAGGTCATGTTGGGGTATATTGGAGAGGAAGCGCTCTTCTGAAGACAATTATAGATCCAGGTGATGTGCATTGAGAAGTTGCTTGCATAGGGCCTTAAATTTGCCTGCTTCTCATTATTTCAAATTTCAAGTTCACCCATTTTGAACCCGTTCAAGTGACCCTGCATACTGATTAGGTAACTTTGGTAATCCATGTTTGGAAGATTGAGGATTATGTCCTTCCATTCATTATAGTTTTGAAAGCTTCTGTTAGCAACATTGTAGGCAAGGGATATTACATGTGGTACAAAAGGGGTGGTCATGATCAATTTTGAGAAGATTGAAGTAAAGCTATGCAACATTATTCTTTAGTATTTGTATATTAGTTTCAAGAGGTCGCACTTGGTGCGATGGCAAGTGCCTTCGCCCATGAGCGGTAGGTCTCGGGTTCGAGACTTGGGAGCAGCCTCTCCATAAATGGGGGTAAGGCTAGCCGACATTCACCTCTCCCAGACCCTGCGTAAAGCGGGAGCCTTGTGCACTGGGTACGACCTTTATTTGTATATTAGTTTCACTTAGTTGAAGGTATTGAAAAACTCCATTTAATAAATCCAAAATGTGTATTCCTTTAGGAGCTGTTTGATAACCATTTGGTTTTTAGTTTCAAGTTTTTGTTTGGATTTATTTTTGCGCATTTATGATAACTTTACTTTAGTATATGTAGATTTAATATTACAATTTAGTATTAATTTATATATTATCTTCTTAAGTTCTTCAAGCATTTAGCTTCTTAGAATATCATTTTTGAAAAAAGCTGGAGTAGTGCATTTTATAGTGTGGCCTAACTTCCTTTTCATTGAAGTGGGATTTTTGAGAGGGACTGGTGGATCTCTGAAAAGGAACTTGGTGGAAATTCCTTATTACACTGTTCTGTCTCAGAAGTTGTGAATTATATGCAGGTATGGATGTTGTCTTAGCTAGATCGTTGTTTTAAACAACCGACTCATTTTTTGCTATTACTTTTCAGATTTTAGTTATGTAGATACTCTCTCTTCATTTTTCAGATGGTTGACAAATTGGATGATGAAACCATGGCAATAGAATTTGGTCCACCTGATTTTAAAGAGGCCCTATAAGGTAATATGCTCTGCCTCAATTTTACAGAGCTCTTACATTAGTTTTTTCTTGCTCCTTTTTGACTCTTGACATGATTTCAGGATGTTGGAAGAGCCCTCTTCCGAGCACATGTTGAGGGTCAACTAAAGGTTAACAAATTTGTATATTTATTATTAGCTAACTCTTAATTATGATGCCGTTAAAAAAAAAAAGTCAAGGATAAGTTGAAGGGTTTGAAAGAAACTAAAGTGGAATTAATTGGAACCGAACCATTCACTAGAAAGCAATATATTTTTAGGTGTATTCGGAATACAAAGTAGTATAATAAGTGGTATATGTGGTTTATATTTTCTATACTTTTTCTTATAATCTCTTATGCCTTGGTCTAATTACTTTCTTGAATTCTTTCTGTTTTGTAGAAACTTGGTTGCAAGGCAAGTTGGAAACGCACAAAAGTTTGATTGCGTCCTATAGAAATGCCAGAGAATGTCATCTCCATTTCGTGCAAAATCAGACTTCTTTCTGCACACAAAAACACTAGGTAAACACGCATTATTCTTATTTTGTTCATGATATGATTCTACTGTCTATAAATTTATTTCAATTTTTTTTTCCCTTGCTTGGGATGCTTCCTTAATGATCAACATAGCAAAGGACAACTTTTAGCATTGCAGTAAACAACATTTCCCATTAATGTTTTTGGACATGAAGCAATTTGTGTTTTTTTCGTATCCAAAGAACTTCCTAATATTTTTAATAGACGAAATAGGTTTCTCTTTTGATATTTAAATTTGTTTCATCCATGATGAGGTTGTGTATAATTTGCATTGGCATTGGTAACTCAGTTTTTGACTCAAACATTGTTTATGAAGATTGAAATTGCATAATCTTTCATATAGTTTTCAATCCTGCAGCAACGCGCGGGTACAAATTCTAGTAAGAACTAAGCGCGAGGAATCATTTCCTTTATTCATTTCGCAATTGGCACGAGAAGACCAATAAAATAAAGATATTAAAACGCTATTTCAAAAACGCAAATAAGCTTTTCAATGGTCGGAGCATAAAACCTCTCAAGTTTCTTCGCAACTTTCATTCATTGTTAATGATGAAACTATCAAATTCCATTGTTTATTATTATTTATTTTTGTCCAATGATAGCAGAAGTATAAAAGTGTCACAAAAATCTCAAACTTTAGATCATCTCTAATCCTTGGCCTAAAATCTAAAATTTTTAGTCCAAAAAATTTAAATTTTAACCCAAAAACAGTTTTTCTGCTTCAATCATTCTGGCCTAAAATTTTAACCTTAAATTATTAAAGAATGAATTTAGACTAATTTTTTTTCTTAAATTAACTTTTTTAAAATAAAAAATTATGTAGACTATCATAATTTAATTCTATGAACATTTTAACCTAAAGATATTTAGATTCTGACAAATACTGAAAAATCACTAATCGATACCATGAAACTCGTTAAACACTATGAAAAAATATGAAACAAATCAAAGATTTTTTTTAATTACTGTAGCCATTAGATTTAAATTTGGACCATTAATTTTTTATTTTATTTTTACCTTTGAATTTCATCAAATTAGATCTTAACCGTTGGATTCAATGAATTTATAAAAATAAAACTAAATAAAATATACATATATGATGGGCCAGCCCCACTAATCCTGGGCTAAATTTGGCTTCCATTTGAGTTTTAGGTTTTACGCCACATTTTAGCATTGGGTTGGGTTGAGTTTTGGGGAAAATAGAAGTGGAAATTTGAGTTTTAACTCAGAATTGGAGAAGGCCTTAGTATAACATTGGGTTAAAAAAAATTTAACATATGAAAATTTAAAAACCTTGATAATTCAAGATAATGAAGTGTGAATTACCCTTAATATTAATATAAATCACCAACACAAATACTTGGGGTAGAAGAGGCCACATCTACTACCTTTAGTTGGGAAGAGAGAGAGTTATTCTCCCCCAAGTAAAGGAGTGGTTGAAAATATCTTGAACCATGTACTTTCTCTATATATGAGACAGTGTAGAAATGTAAAAGTGTATGGAGTGCTTTGAACTCTAAACATAGAGTCATCTTTTGAGTTTTAAGAAACACCAAATCATGAAATAAATAAAAGTTAGTGTGGACTCTATTGGAGTTTTAAAGTTTAATTTTTTTTTCTCCTTCTCCTCCTTGCCAAAAGGGTAGTGGAGCTCATTATGCATCCCGAGAATGCGTCACACATCCACTTTTTCAAAAGTGGAGGTTAGCAGTGAAGAAAGTGAAGTTGTTTTAAGATGGTACGCGAAAACCCATCTAGTTTTTCGCTTTGTTTTGTAATTTTTATTCTAAATATTTTTTGTTGGATTCTAGACAAAATTGTATTTGAATTATATTATTGTTAACTTATTATGAGGTTTAACCTACTTCCTTACTATAATCGTTTGTAAAACGATGAACCCTAAAACCTGTGTTATCGCATCACTCATTCAAGTCTATTGCCTTTAGCTCCCAACCTCAAAATTGAAACGAGAGAGAGAGGCTTTACTGCAGCGAGTTGGGTGATGACCGACTGGTGACTGGTTATTGACTCACAAGCCTCTCTCTCACATTGGTGACTGGCTAATGCAGCAACGTATCAATACTCATGCCTCTCTCTCATCCCTCGTTACCGTACCATCTGGCTGACAGCTGTGAGCATATTCTGGTTGGGGGCATGAACCCCTCCCTACAACCCTAGGTGTACACTATAAAAGAGGTGATATCCATTTGTGCTTGCGAAAGAAAAAATCCAAACAAAATCATCATGTTTTGTCTGAACGGCGCGGTGACCGTGAGGAGGTTGTCCAAGATGTGCTCCGGACATGGGAAGCACAATGCCAAGGTTTTTCGAGTGCTTCTGAAGGAGGATGTCAAGTTGGCCAAGGGGGTTATCGAACTCCGCATGCATCCAGTAATGTCTCTGAATTATCCAAGATAGATCTTTTGTAGAAACCCAAGATGCGTGTTTTCGACACTGTGTGCAAGCTCACCGTGTTTGCGGAGCTCTTCCACATCCTTCTGGCTCTTCCTGCTCTAAGGGAGGAAGAGATGTGGAAGAGCTCCGCAAACACGGTGAGCTTGCACATGGCTTCGAAAACACGCATCTTGGGTTTCTACAAAAGATCTATCTTGGAGAATTCAGAGACATTATCCAGATGCATGCGGAGTTCGATAACCCCCTTGGCCAACTTGACATCCTCATTCAGAATCACTCGAAAAATCTTGGCATTGTGCTTCCCATGTCCGGAGCACATCTTGGACAATCTCCACGCGGTCACCGCACCGTTCAGACGAACCATGATGATTTTGTTTGGATTTTTTCTTTCACGAGCAAAAAGCAAAAGAGGTATTAGGAGAGTCCAAGGGCTTTGCCCCACACCAAAAGGAATCTTGGTGGTGGAATGAGGAGGTACAAACGAAGGTGAAGGCTAAGAAGGAATGTTGTAAAGGCTTATACAAGGAGAGGACCGATGAAAATGGTGAAAGGTATAGAAAAGCGAAGCAAGAGGCGAAGAAAGCTGTCAGAGAAGCTAAGTTAGCGGCTTACGACGATATGTATAAATGACTAGATACCAAAGAAGGAGAGTTGGATATCTATAAACTATCTAGAGCAAGGGAAAAGAAGACAAGGGACCTAAACCAAGTGAGGTGCATCAAGGATGAGGATGGAAAGGTTCTTGCTACAGAGAACGCGGTTAAAGACAGATGGAGAGGTTATTTTCATAATCTTTTCAATGAAGGACATGAAATGAGTGCTTCTTTAGGGGAGTTGAGTAACTCAGAAGAGTGTAGAAACTACTCTTTTTATCGTCGAATCCGGAAGGAAGAAGTGGTTGTAGCTTTGAAGAAGATGAAGCATAAAAAAGCAATAGGCCCAGACGATATACCAATCGAAGTGTGGAAACTTTTGGGAGAGACAGGTATAACATGGCTCACTGACCTTTTCAATAGGATTTTGAAAACGAAGAAGATGCCAAATGAGTGGCGAACGAGCACTTTGGTGCCTATCTACAAGAATAAAGGGCGACGTACAAAAATTGCATGAACTATAGGGGTATTAAGCTAATGAGTCATACAATGAAGCTCTGGGAGAGAGTCATTGAGCATAGATTGAGGCAAGAGACACGGGTTTCGGACAACCAATTCGGGTTCATGCCAGGGCGCTCAACCATGGAGGCAATCTATCTCTTACGAAGATTGATGGAAAGATATAGAGATGGGAAAAAGGATTTACACATGGTCTTTATAGATTTGGAAAAAGCGTATGATAGGGTCCCAAGAGACATTCTTTGGAGGATTTTAGAGAAGAAAGGAGTACGAGTAGCATATATCCAAGCTATAAAGGATATGTATGAAGGAGCAAAGACTGCCGTAAGAACTCATGAAGGACAAACCGAAAGCTTTCCCATAACTGTAGGATTACATCAAGGCTCATCCTTAAGTCCTTACCTTTTTGCGTTGGTAATGGATGAGTTAACAGGACATATTCAAGATGATATTCCTTGGTGTATGCTTTTCGCAGACGATATAGTGTTGATAGATGAAACTCAGGAAGGGGTAAATGCAAAGCTTAACCTTTGGAGAGAAGTGTTGGAATCTAAAGGTCTTCGCCTAAGCCGATCAAAGACAGAATATATGGAGTGCAAGTTCAGTGCAAATGGAGGCCAAAACGAGTTAGGGGTGAGGATCGGAGATCAAGAAATACCAAAGAGCGACCGTTTTCGTTACCTAGGATCTATCTTGCAAAAAGAACGGAGAATTAGATGGAGATCTCAACCATAGAATACAAGCTGGATGGATGAAGTGGAAGAGTGCATCCGGCGTGTTGTGTGACCGCCGTATGCCACTGAAGCTCAAGGGAAAATTTTATAGGACGGCAATAAGGCCGGCGATGCTGTATGGCACAGAATGTTGGGCGGTGAAACATCAACACGTACACAAAATGGGTGTAGCGGAGATGAGGATGCTTCGTTGGATGTGTGGGCACACGAGAAAGGATAAGATTAGGAATGAGGATATCCGGGGTAAAGTAGGAGTAGCCGAAATTGAAGGAAAGATGAGAGAAAATCGGTTACGGTGGTTTGGACATGTGCAAAGAAGGCCTACTGACGCTCCGATTAGAAGATGCGACTATGGACAGAGGTTCAGGGCCGAAGGGGTAGAGGAAGACCTAGGAAAACTTTGGAAGAGACTCTAAGAAAAGACTTAGAGTACTTGGATCTAACGAAGGACATGACACAGGATCGAGCACAATGGCGTTCTAAGATTCATATAGCCGATCCCACTCAGTGACTTGGATTTTCCAAGTCTCCAACCGAGAAGTTTTCCTCACTCGGGAAATTAAGGGAACACTACCCCAACCTACATGCTCCACTCAGAAAGCTTCAACATACAAGCTTCAACAAAAGAAAATTCAAAGAACTTAGCGAAGAAGGCTTTGGTGTATTTAACACAATACGTTGAAATGAAGGAAAGCTTATTTATTGATATCCCCGATAAGCTACA